TAGCTCTATGAAACCTGATGTACTTATATGATTCTGTTTTCTTCAAGTTTGTATTTTGTTGGTCGAACGCACTTATTGTAAGTCGCTTTGGATAAAAGCCTCAGCCAAATGCAATGTAATGTAATGTAGAACAGATCGCTGATGCTAATGTAGCGTTAGCGTTAGCATTTCTCCCCCAGGCATGGTGTATTATGGAATGATCAAACAGGTGTNATCTAAAGCCAGTTGAGTAGCACTTGAAATGTTTTAGCTCTATGAAACCTGATGTACTTATATGATTCTGTTTTCTTCAAGTTTGTATTTGTTGGTCGAACACACTTATTGTAAGTCGCTTTGGATAAAAGCGTCAGCTAAATGCAATGTAATGTAATTGAATATCTAACTCCTTCAGCCTACTTTCAGCTACAGAAACCATTCAACTATTACTTTATTCAGCTATTTCAGGACATTGAGGCTATACATTTAGTTGTTTATACCTTTTTTTAAACCTTTTCTTTTAAATAGTAAGCTTCTTCACTATTTTTCCTACTCTTCATGTTTAACATTTCACTTTTTAAACAAAGTCATTGCAATGCATTTGAGCTGTAACAATTTTGATTCAAATCATTTCACTTTTCTGCATTTCTCCGCTAAGTTCAGCAACACACTTACTTGGTTTTTGTAGCTAAAAGCAGCTACAGAGACAATTCAGCTAATACAATATTAAGCAAAAAATGTACACAGTTTACAGCATTCGCATAACTAGCATTTTCTAGTTCTACTCTGTATCTTCTTGCAGCATTTTTATTGTTTGTTTTTTTATATTTGTTTTATTTATTATATAGTATGTAGTATTGTTGGAGGATCCTTGGACCTAAGGTATTAATTGCCATAACTACACCGTACTGTACATATGACAATACAGCCTTTGAATCTTGAAATTGAATGTTCTTATTACACATGATGTGTTCACAGCTGGATGAAGTCCTCCACACAATGTAAATACGTTTTAAACATATGCATGTTCAATGTTAGCTTATTTACATTGAAAGGACACTGAATAAAACCTGCTATGCAGATGTTTCGCAAACAACGTGTGACTTTTGCTATAAACTGTGACCCTGCTATTAGTAACGTTACTTTAAGTTAGCTTTGCTCAGTGGAGTAACGTTGTTTAACTTAATACCAAGAAACTCTACAGTTTATTAACTTTTCCTTTATTTTAAAGCGTCACATTGTGTGGTAGCTTAATATCGTAACGCCAATTAAAGATATAAAATAAACTACCATTTTAAATAGTTAGCTAAAGCTAGCATTAAGCACGCTACCGTACCCGGCACAATTAAATTAGGCTAAGCTAACATTAGCCATAACTGGTGTTCCCTCTAAAGAGGAACTCACTTTAGCGGGCCCGATATAAGTTTGGAATAAAAGTCAAAACGTCCGTATATACATACCTAGAATTAGGTGGCGTACAAATGGACACAAACAGCTTTCAGCAGGTTATTAATTATGAAAATCTTTTGTAACGTCCCGATGTTGGATTAGCACGCTGGCTAGTCAAGGGCCTTCGAAAACATCTACGCAGGCGCTCTACGCACCACACTCGAAGAGCGCTTGTTATGTGAATCGGGACGTGGCAGCCGGGCGGAGCTAGACAATACATATTATACAGCCTGATATTGTAGTAAGATAAGATACACTTTGTTGATCCCAATTTGGGATTTTTTCCCCCGTCACAGCAGCATGTAGATAAGACATTGCACATTAATTAGAAGTAAAATACATTAAAAAAATAAACAACAAAACAGTGAATATATCATCAATCAATCAAAACTTTATTACAGACTAAAGGGTCCAGATAAAAGAAAATATACATATATATATATAGTATATATTTATCTATATAGAGTATATAATGAACAACACATTATCTCATAGTTATACTATTGCAAATAAAAACAATAATAATAATAGCATCTGTCTGCACCATTGGTGAAGGAACAACTCACATTTACTTAATCATAAGTAGCGTGAAAATACCCTTGGTTACTCCTCCATAGATAAGGTAATAAAGGCATAAAAGTAATGCCATCAAAATATATAATTAAAGTAGCATAACAACAGTACTTATTATGCATACACATTTGTTAACTGTATAAATATATATGTATTACTTCCCATTATACAAATACATTCACTACATTCCTGTTAACCTCCATGTATACAATCAGTGTATTTATTTGCAATGCAACTGTGTGTCCAAATCCTGCATTTGGATACACAGTTGCATTGCAAATAAATACACTGACAAATGCGTATTACTTGATTATAGGCTACGATATATCCTTATACTATTGTTCAACTAGTACTAGATCTAATTTGCGATCTAATTGCGTGTTTTACTTTTTAAAATATGATACATTTAGCAACATACTACCGAAGATGTCCATTGCTGACCATATAATACACATTTTGTAATGAGATGTTTAAAGATGACCAAATAGTTGAGCTTTTGGTTTAACTTTAACCATCATTCATTAGGAACAGATAAGTAAGGAGCAGCTCACAAATACCTAGTGTGTCATCTGAGTAGGTGGATCTTTATATTATTTAATAATTGATTTAAATGCCCAAGGGGTTCATTATTACCTTGGTCCTTTAGAATGTGAAGGTTACTTGTTTTATTGCCCTGGTGTAAGTATATATGACATTTTCATTTAAATGCATGAGCAATCACATAATTAGTACACGTACTATTGTAATACATGTATAAACACATACTTTAATGGGCTTATAGCGTTGGTTACCATGGTGTTTTTGTTGTTGGAACCGTGATGGCAGCTGGGCCGCGAGGGCTGCATCATGGGCTGCATCTGACAACCCGTGACGTCACTTTAGGCGGGTTTTTCATGGAAAGGTCTAGAAGAAACGAAGCACACCCTCCTAGTTTGAAATATCCCTCCATCGGATTAAAAAGACCCTAACTGTTTTCTATGAAATAAACCATGTTCCTCAGATTTTGTTTTTAAAAAATGATTAGATATGTACATATATTGCTGCTCCGATAAAATAGGCAAGTAGCCATGGAGCCTAGTCAGTCATCTAAAATACGGTATATCCACGATCCATTCTAGAACTATCCTTTGAATAATAAACTACCACAAGATGGCAGCAATGATGAGATGTGCACAGACTGATAGTTAGTCTATGGTTTAAATCATAGTTTAAATGCATTATTTTCTATGATATAAGTCTTATCAACAGTTTTGGATACAATAAGTCTTCTTAAACATAACACACATGGGACTTGAATTCTTACTATAATTTCCAACGACCGCACATCACCTAAAGGATTTGGTTTAGATTTAATAACTTGTATTGCACTGCATTGTATTTTATTTGATCGACCTCTTTTAAAGCTGTACAGCCTAATAACATTAAACATAGTGTATATTAACAACCACTTCACACATAGATGTCAACAATCCCATTTATCTTAAATCATTATTAGCCCGTTTTCTACCCAGACTGGTTCATCTAGTGGTGGATGGTGCACCGCGGAGGGATATGGCCGCACAGTGAAACGATTGTGTATAAAGATTCCGGTCTATTAAAAGGAAGTTCCTTTCCATTTCCCTGCGTCAGAGAGCAGAAGGGACTACACATTGGTTGCATTTTATTCAAGATAAGTCAACGGAATAAACAAGGTATGTACACGAGAGTTTTGCTTGATTGTGAATTACATTTTTCCCATTTTAATATTTGTTTTCTGCAAGTCACCATCACTAAACTACGGCTGGATATAACCACGATGGGAGCTCATGTCACGAAGATAACCTTAGCTTCATAACGTGGTCTACAGCTAGCATTTTCATTTTCAACCTGTTTTGTATCTCAAATGTTGTATAATGGTAAATTCTTACACTAGTATTTTCGTCAACTGATACAATGTTCGATGCTGAACGGTGAATATATGCGACACTTTGCCGCACTACCAGGCCGGGCTTCGGTTTCACTAAAGCAGGTGTGGTGAAGATGACAACGGTGACTTAGGTTTATTTAACAGCAATGACGATTAAACACTCGATACGACTCGTCTATATAAAAAAAAAAACATTCCTTTTAATTTCTATACCAACCCGTTCACATCGAGACATTTGACGTTAAACTCAAATTCTATAGCCGTTAAGCTACCGTTAACGGTGCCCTCTTTTGCGTCAACGATTTTCACTTAAGGTCAATTCGACCACGTTAACTTATATCAAACTGAATTAATGCTTATTGTTGTGTATATTGCTCTTGTACTTTGCTTTACAGTACCTTCAATTACATTGTTTTGGCTTTTTTCCTAGGACAAAGCAACGTTTTAGTAACGGCAGTGCTCGTCGTCGCTCAGAGGCTTTTAACGTTACACTTTAATAACGTTGTGATTACAATTAACTGTATAGCGCCGTATTCCTT